TTAGGACTTAAAATCTATTGACAAAATCCCGTTAACATTTCCCATTTTGATGATTCTATAAACAATGTTTTTTAGTCATGAAACGAGAAAGGAACTTTACACGCCATCTGCGGCTGTGACATCACGGCCGGATGTCGTGATTCAATTGTCGGTTACAATAAACAACTTAACAGCTTTTTGAACGAATCTATTAATTCTAATTTGCCTTCTCCTGCCCACAGCGTTCCCCCCACCACACGCAGCCCGTGCTGCGAGCCGGGATATTACGAGATCCGATATCGGATGGCAGATACGCTCATTTCCAGTTGGCTGGAGCACTCCAAACCTCTCTATATGAGGCGACGTAATCAAACCTCTGACATACGGTCGCATAACGAATGATTCCAGAACTCGGCTGCTGCAGCTGATATCCTGGCTGACTTTTACTTGTTTTTTCTCAGTCGTTCCATCTCGTTTCTTGTTCTAAGCTGAAGGCTTTTGGTCTTCAGCTTAGAACCCTAAATAACATGTGCAGTTGATTTGAGGTTCTCACGACGGCAAAGATGGCGGTGATGCTCTTAACGTTATAACGTCGCGTGGACTTGTAGGTAGTGTTTCGGAGGAAAATAGTGTTTCCTTCTTCAGGAACAACCCAGATGACAAGTAAGGAATTGATGCGCTAGGTTAGCAGATCACCTACTGGGCTAGAGTGGTAATGTTTTGTCCTCCCTGGAATTCGAAGCCATGAGACAGTCCACGGGGCTGATATTTTGTACCCCATGATGATAAATGCTATCAAAATATAATGGACGTCGATTATAAAAACGAGTTTCGAATGAAACGGACCTGAAGTAAGAATTAATTTTTAATTTGCCGTCCCGAACTATTTTGGTGTATAATTTAGAACTCAGCTTACAGTTTATTTATCCACTTTGCCTGCGTTCTCTGCCCAGCAGTTCGATAATTTAAAGGCGAAAGTCTGTCCCAAATGTGAGTTGTTGCATACGCCGGCTTGTCTGTTGCTATAGTAACACTGTAGGCTTTACCTCGGAAGGTTCCAAGTTCAATTGCCTGTCTTACCGGCCACGCTGAGATTTTTCGTGGTTTTACCAAGTACGTCTTGGTATTACCTTGAACCTGATCGCCTACTTACTCCATGTCCTTGCCTATTCATAATTCATGATCATCTTCCTTTTCATTCGGTCTGGAGTTGAAGCAGAATCGTTATAATTCGGTGTGATGAGTCAGTGATCTTTACAGGCTTTTATAAAAATCACAAATTTTCTCTCGTTCCAGAATTATATTCTGGAATCTGGACAGTTTCCATGTTCGCGTCTGGACAAAGCTTGGGTTGAACACCATAATTCATCCTCTCACCTCTTGTTATTTCTTGCGTTAATGATTTCAAATAGCGTCCTCGTAGGAATTCAGTGTAGCCAACCGCTCTCCCATCCATTTCCCTAATTACTACAACCCCTGACAATTGTTCTTGGAGTTTGTGTGTGTGTGTGTGGGGGGGCCGCGAACATTTATTGTATTTTCTAACTTATTTGTCCCTCTGTTTTCTCTCTTTTTCACTTAATCCGTTTTGCTGTTTTCTGTTCGTTTTTTCAGCAATTTCACAGTCACTGATTTGAATAATAAGAGTTTGGCTAAGGTACGCCATGCCCCATTGTGAGAGAGTATTGCCACACGTTGCCAGCGTCTCGAAAAAATGTACCTTCTGTTGAGGGAACTGTAGGACAATACATCTGTGTTAACGTATTCTGGTATGAATAAGTTGAGACATGAATGTTACTTACTAAATAAAGGAATGGATGTACTTTGAAGGAAGAAATTTATAAATTAATGAAAGAGTGAATGAATAAGCGAATTAATAATTAATTAAAGGAGTGACTAGATTGTTTAATTAGTGAATTAATTCATGGAGAACGGAAGTGATAAAGTTATGAAAGCAAGGATTAATAAAGAGTTGGCTAAGTGACTTAAAGGATAAAATATATCTAAAGAGAATTAATTGATAAATTAACGAATGTATTAACGAAGTATACGGGTACTTAACTAACCTCAGTTGGTGACAGTACCATTGAATGTCTTGTTAACTGGTCCTAGGACTGGTACATCCTGAAAATATGCTGTTCAAAATAGACGACTAAAGAAATTTAATTTTATACAGTGTCATATGGGACCCGTCCCTCGCGTATTATTCACGTGTGGGCCCTGGGGTTGTCTGAAGCAAGCTTATCCATTAGTTATTCTTCATAAAATAAAGACCCGGATTTAATCCCATTCCGTTGTCGAGCGATAGACCGTGTCTGAGCTGTGGACAATTGTTTTACTGAACTACATATAAATCCATTGCTCGTAAAAGATGACGAAGTTATTTCCACTGCTATCAAATTAGGTTATAAAACAAACTTTTTCCAATTACAGGGTCTGTGTTAGCAAAGAACGTTCAGCAATGAATATTAAATCCTGTTGTCTAGGAGACGGCCGACAGTGAAAAGCAATACACATGCAAATATCTGCTAGTGTTTCAGAACACACCCTTGATACAACTAGATCACTCTAGCGGTACGTGAAGGCGACTGTAATGCTGATGCGAGATTGTTTCAGGTTTACGTCACGTCATGGCGGATTGCTTATCAAGGTTTACCGCAGTCATGGCACTCGACAATGAGGAGAAAATATGTTTAAGACGTAGTGTGAAAGTAACTTGGTACAGGGAAGATGAAACGTTGAAAAGTAGAAGGAAAGAATTCAATCATTAAAAAATAATGCTCAGAAAAGGATAGGAGCGTAGACATGATAATTTGGGAAGGTTATATCACAGTAGCTGCTATGTACCACGATTATCCAGCCTCCAAACGCAGGAAAGAGGATTTTTGCTCTCTCAGAGTTATCTCTGCTTAACGTCTCGAATTTACTGCAGAAAGTTTTGCCCGTAATTAAGATTGGTAGAACTGATACTCCGCTGCGTCTCCAGCATAACGCGGCTGCATCGCTTCAGCTGTGATATTGAAGACATTTGATCGTCGATACGGAGATAATATTAAAATGGACCTTATAGAAACAGCGTGTGACGATGACAAGATTTGTTTTGTTTCATGATAGAGTCCAGTGGGTGATTGTTATGAACATTGTAATGAAACTTCGTGGTTAATAATTTTCTGACGAGCTTAGCGACTGTTAGTATCTGACGGAGGACTGTCCTGGGTTGGGTTAGTTATGATAAGCTGATTGTTGCAAGCCTGACAATAACTGCGGCATTATGGAATCTTTTTTGCAGTTAATCGATTTGCTTCACAGGTCATTAGTTGCCCTGTCATGGAGCTGACATTAGGATGAAAGTTATTTGGATGGAAGGAATGAAATCCATCCTCAGCAGCTTATCATTGCTTCAATAAAATTACCCTCGAAAGGTTAAGCATTATAGGGTGATACATAATGTCTGTGTTCCTAAAATATGTTTTTTGAAAGTCTTTTTTCGTGAAAGACGTGTTGCTATCGTGGACGTCTGAATTTTGTCGTGATTGTGTAATTTTTAGACCCATATTTTAGTATCCATGGAGTATTTTTTTACCAGCTGTGGGTTAAGTTACTTTACGTTAATTTTTTTTAATTGCTTAATACGTTGACATTCGCTAATAATTCTTGCAGATTAACGGATATTAAAACTTTTGACAAACCCTTCAGTGGAAAATTTCCTCTTGAGTTCTGTTTACATGCGAGTAATCCCGTTCGCCGAATTTCAACTGCTAACTGATATAGTAACGTGCATTTGCCAGTCGCCGTCTTAACATTTCGGTGTTTCGTGATTTGAGTTGCTTTTCGTAGTTATCCTGAACAATGAACGTCTTGAATTGCACGCTGTACAAAGTTACAAGACACGCGACAGGCGAAGAACAGAGTTATGCTAATCGCTTCACGTTCTTCTGCTGTTGCAATATTCTCGAGCCATTTTGTAAGTAAATTCTCGCTTCGACGCCTCTGAAGACAAATTCCTTTTGCAGCGTACGATAGCAGTTCATTTTCCTCCTTTACAAATCCTTTCTTTTTCATCCGTCTGGAAACATCATGATGAAAATTGTCTCCCAGAAATATCAGCTTTAATTATGCATGTCTTATTGAACAATTAGAAAATAGTACTTGTAAAAAAAAAACCCATCAGAACTGCCCACTCGTTATTGCGTTTTTGGTTTGGGGGCGTTTTAATAACGCCATTTGTTGGGAAGAATATAATTTTCAGGTTACAATAAATAATTTCCACTTCTGTCTTTAGGATGATTATGTTGCAAAAATTTGTATTATCTTTATGTTCTACTTTTATATCCCTGAAAAATATGTCCATATTCAGGGGTATCCAAAAGAGCTACATAATTAATCTATTGCGTAAGACGTCCCACCACGAATATATACTTATGATGATTTTATAAAATCTGTTAAATTTTCATTACTTCCTTCACAAAATCCCGCTCCATTACCCTATATTTATTCAGATAAATCTAATATACATTTTCAAAAACACCCTATTTATTCCATTTTAATATTATCCTGTTATCTATATGGTTTACAAGGGTCTCTTGGCGTACTTAAAGCTTGGGATTTATGAGGTAGAAAATAAATAAGTTAGCAGATGTCGATAATGATATAGAGACGTGACGAATGCGTCAGTCGGTCGCATTGCCGCTGAGTTAACCTGCCCAATGGTTTACTTCTAAACAGCCAGTTTATAGATAGCAGAAGTATGAATTATGGATCTGTAAAAACTGTTACGCTGGACAGATGGCATATTATCCGATTCACTTATATTCAAAATACGTACATAAAATTAATTTTAAACTTTTTTTTTGAAAATACGCTCCTCAGAATTGTCACAAAACTTCCGCATGGGTAAACTCCATCTTTTGTCTAGCAACTGAACTGCTTCGATTTTTATCCTTTCGTGTTTATCAGTAGCAGTTGAAATAACAAATGCATGCAAAGTATTCAAGTGTGTTAACGACGTTTATCTGTTCCAGATTGTCTACACTTGCAGCTTTACAGGGACAGCAAGGATCGCTACAAGCAGGGACAGACCAAGGCGTCCCTGTCCCTCCAGCATTTCTTGGGCGTGGAGTCAGGTGAGTGTCTTAGAGCACGTTTATGTAATTTGTCATTAATCGTTAACATTTGAAATCAGTACGAAATACAACACAAAATTGGGAACCATAAACATCCGAGAGGGGGTGGGTTATTAACCCTTTCAATTCTTTAACTCACGAGATATCTCGATTAAAAGATAAAAAAAAATATCTACGTTACGACAGTGGTATATTGACAGAAAATATCATTCTTAGGGTGACGGACAAGTCTCTGCTTACGTATGTAACTCGACATTTTACGTATTGTGACGTATAAACTAGATGGTAACGTGAAATGCAATGTTGTGCTTTGGTGCTTGCGTTTAAATTTGAGGGCACGTCGAAATTACTGTAAATGCGACACATTTATTTAAAAATTTCATTTTTTTTGTGACTGTCAGTGAGAAACTGTTAGAAGTTGGAAAATCGTACTCCTTGACTGCAGGTTTCACGCTCGACAAGGAATCCAACACGATCGCCATAATATGCCAGGACGTGACTGTGATTCTTGCCTTCGATACCAGAGAGCGGCTGATCCAATGGCAGGTGAAGATTTCCAGCAACCTAGGAGAAGGTAAGTGGAGGAGACATTTCAGTACGTTCTTTGAAACTGCCCAGATTACTAATTTGACAATTTCTGACCTGCAGTTTACGGCATAGCAGTGAAATCGTCGTGAATATGTGAGCCAGAAGGGTGTTAATTTCTGTATATATCTAACCGAATCGTAATTTGAAGATAACTTGTGGATTGGGCGTAGGGGGACAACGAAACTGGTATGAGATAAACAGGCTGTAAAGATGGTGGAATATCTATACTAGCGCCACCTAGTATAGGATTTGCAAAACTAAACAGAACGTATTTTTTTTTAGATACACTCGAAAATCGACCACACACAGAGAACGTACGAGTAAAATAGAAGAATTGCTTTCCATTTGAGGAATCGGCGAAGACTGTCACGTGTCTGGTCCTTTAGGGCAAACAGAGGCAGCGTGACGTCATAATAACTTGAACTGTGACACCCGGGTGTGAAGGGAATTTATCACACATGATTTTTTCTCGACAGATCAACAGTTCTTGATACAGATCACGTCAGCGCCACCAAAGGCGAAGATATCCACCGGTCCTGCCAGACTCCATATACAGGATCAGCGGTTCTGCATCACCACCGGAGTTCCACCCCGACTCATCGGCTTCTGGGAGATCGGACAACTGAGGTGAGTCGATGAGCACGGGTGTGGGGGGTAGTTCGGGGTGACGTCATGGGAGCTATCTCCTCCTCCGGGATGGTCTAAAGGCAAGAAAAGTGTAAGGGGTTAGCAAAGCACCCCAGAAATTAAAACCATTTGTACCAAGACGTGGCAACCCCTTGCTTGAGTTCCTATCTTGATCTGTTTTAGGCGGTATGGGGTGGTACAGGGACGATTCTGTTTCGAGGGTGGATCGCGCTGTGGTAGGGGCGAAGGCCTCCATGTCTGTGTGACAGATCAGGGTGTAGAAATCACTCAGACCTTCCAGCTAGCTGCTCAGGGGAAGCTGTCCACTAGGCGGAGACCCGTGTCCAGGAAAATGTCTGCCATGGACAGTCCTCGCAAGCAGATCCATTCGAGGCACTCGGACCTGAGCTGTACAGAGTCCTTCCAACAGCATGTGCTGCCATCTGCCGACATGACGCGCAGTCTGTTCTGTAGTAGCGAGGGAGATCCTTGCTGCGCATGCTCGGCGACCGAGAGCGTCCTCAACGCGTCTCGACACCCCAGCGCCGAGGATTTACTTTGCCCCTGCAGGTGAGACAGATGGGATGTACGTACGTGCTTTAAAACACGTTGCATTTTCGCCTTTTCATTCTTGTTGTTTTGTACGTAGTTAATTTCCTTTCAGATCCTTTATCACACCTGCAGATATTTATTAAATTATACATTACACCATTTTAATTAACAGTTACTTTTATAATAATTCTAACGATGAAAGTATATCGATAAACGATAAAAATACGATATGTCGAAAAGAATTATAAGTGGCTTCCTTGTAGTTCTAGTGTTGGCGTGAAGATGGCATCGGCTTCGTTATTACAGATTCAGTATTTCGATGACATGTAATTTCTTTGCCAAAGATTATACCAACTCACGAAACTTTTTATGTTGGTACGACTAATGTAAATATGACTTAGTCAGTGTTTTCCTGCCTGAAATAAAACTTGTGGAATTGTTACCGTGTTATCTGACAAAGTACTATAATATCGTTAACACATTTTGAAATTTTGTGGCTGCACGGCGCCATTATGATGCTTTTATACACTCTCGCTTTAAAAATTATAATTGAGTTAATTTGATTGCTTGATTCATCGTGTTCTACCGCATTATTTTCATGGGTGAAGTTGAAATTGAAACATATGCGATGTTTTAATTAACTAATTATCCAAACCAGTTAATAAATTCGCTTTTATATCAACAAAAACAATAGGGTTCATCGAGGCAGTAGTTCGCCTTTCTGGTCTTCAGCGGAATCCGCGGCGGGGCACCACCATGCAGACCTAGACAGCAACTATGGCTGTGGCGATACTACGTCTGTCACGGAACTCCCGGAGCACTTTCAGCATCAGGTACGTTCTTTCTGCTTATTTTTTTTTTAAATTTATTTTTTATATATATTTTTATATATTTGTTATATGAAAATTACTTTTACAGGTTGTGTTGTAGTGGTGCATACATTTGTGAAAATTTACAGCAGTGTACTATCTTGTCCAGATCTCGTGAATCATACCTTAATCCTATGATCTATTATTACAAATGTTCTGTGAGCATTTGAAATTGTTGTAAAGTGCGTCATGACAGATCTTTTGCCACATCAACAGTTAAACCCTCGTTCTTCAATATATATTTTAATATTATCATTCCATCTGTTACTAAAATTCCAATATGTCATCCCTTGAAATCTCGTGATCAAGATCGCGTGTTCAGATTCTGCATACTCGCCAATCTCATTTGTCATTTTTAATAATCTTGAATATTTTAGTACATTTTAATATTATCCTCCCAATGCAGTTTTTAAACTATGGAACTGTTCCTTGTAGGATTCTGGCTGGTCTCTGGTGGCGCCAGATATGGACCGCCGCGCAATGCCATCTAGCTTAGAGCGCTGTGCTAGCTGTATCAGCAAGCTGGGGGCACCGTCCATGTCAAGGTCATCCACTGTTACTAATACCAATACCCCCACTGGAGCCCCTTTCAGCCCTGCCTGGACAATGGACAATGCGACAAACATACCTGCGCCCTCCAACCCCTGCCAGCACCACTACCACGTCCACCATCCCCACCACAACCACCCCCGTTCTAATACCAGTTGCGACCGAATGTCGCTGTCATCGCACGGAAGTGGCGGCAGCAGCGGGAATTCTGAGTACTCTGTCCCACGGTTCGCCAACCCCGTGTCTGCACCTCCCGGAGGAAGTGAGTCCTGCTGGTACGACCGTCCCCGGACTATAACCTCGACACATCCGCCGATACCTCCAAAAAGCCCGAAAACTCCACCGGTTATGCCGTCAAATCCTGCCAGCGGACTGTCCTCACACCCACCGGCGATAAGTCTGTCGGAGGGCTGTAGATGTCAGTGCTGTCCACCGTCAAGGCCTCCGAAACCGGTTCAGATGTCGACCGCAAACAACGCCTCGGACTCGCCGAGCAAGAAGAAAGTCAAGAAGGCTCCTATGCCATTGCCACCCCTGGTCCAGCAGCATCCTGTCGCAATCTGCACGTGCCACTACCCTCAACATCAGCAGAGGGTGGATATCAACCCCTACGAAAACTACGATATTCCAAAGCCATTGCTTGGGCAGTCGTATCCTAGGGTGAGTTCACTTTTACGGCCGTACGTCGCGTATTTTGACGTGAGAAATTTTTAGGCCGTGCCGAAGTAAACGCGATTAATTACGTACTTTCCTAAAAATGGCTACATTTCATCACATTACAAATTCATAATTATCGTCTCGAAAACAAAAAAATTATTTTATGAAAAAGTATCTTTTTTAATATTATAATATAAATACTTCAGGGATCTGGAAAACATCGGTGCAGCAGGATAATAAATATTGAATAGATGATTTGTTTTCACCCTTAATTCAGCCCTGAAGATGGAGACAGTATGTTTGTTCTAAAAATCTTTTTATCAACCTACGAGTCTACATGACGCGACGACCCCAGACAAATTATCCTCGCTGCAATGAAAATTATAAATCTCAAATACAGAGTAGCTCAGCGGTCCCCAACCTTTTTGTGCCTACGGGGACATTTGAGAGTTTATGAGATCGTGGCGGGTACCAACCGATGAAGCCAAATTTTTATTTTCTCTGGACAAATAAAATATGGACACCAAATAATACGCAAAACAACACGACTACGCGATCAAAAATACGTAGTTTTATAAGTACAGTTATTATTACTCAAGTGGGAGGTTAGTGCGATGTTTGGGGCCGCATTTCATCGGCTACTTTTTCAAATTTGGGAGTGTAGGATGATGTCTCTGCTCGCAAACGATCGTCAAGATGGGCGTTAGTAAGTCGAGATCTGCGCTCCGATTTTATAATGTTCATGGTTGAACGGCCTTCATTATTCAGTATAACCTCTTTCCGTATCAACGCGGACACCGCGTTGAGGACCACTTGAGTAGAGTTTAATTAAGATGTGGAGTGAGAATATAATGGATTTTGGTGTTTAAAACTAATCTGTTGTCACAGGATTCGAAAGATGACCCAAAGCTAGGAGACGCTCACAGTAGGATGACAATAACCACGGAGGAATATTACGACACGCCAAAGAACGTGAAGGAGTATCTGACAGCGTCAGTCAGCGGCCCGCAATACGGCAACTACGACACCCCTCCCGCGGCGATGACCCTGAGGAAACCGTGCGGTTGCGTCATCAAATACGCCAAGAAGTCGCTGGGAGCGGAGCCGGCGATGCCGGCCAAGGCGGAGGCGGTCGAGGACTCGAAAGGCGGGGAATGCCCGTGCCAGCGGGTCATGTGTTGGGCGGAGAACTGGATGATGTTGCCGTACTGCAGACGCGGGAACGGCATGGAGAACACCGGCGTTCCTATTCACAAGGTGAAGCTCAGCGGCGAGGGCAAGATGCCGGTGATGAACCGCAGTGGGGAGATCGCCATCTACGCGACTGTCGACAAGTCCACTAAGGCCAACAGGTGAGGAACGGATGAAAATCGTGATAACTTGTGTTGGGCGAGGCCGTGGTCTAGGCAACACGGAGATTTTCTCCGTGGCATCCCAACAATTACTCCATTCACACACAGACGAAGGCAATGGCAAACCACTTCTGGATCATCTGCCAAGAACGTATATGAACAGGTCCCAGTCCGAGAAAAGGATGGAAGGATCCTGTTCATATGGACCTGTCGTCACACAGAACACTAAATAAATACACAAAAGTTAATTGTATGCCAGTGGGTTCAAAAGAATTGTGTTTAGGATCAGGTACGTAAGTCTGGATACATCTTGGAGCCAGTTTCCTGAATGGGAGACAAACCCAGAGCAGTCGATCTCCTCCCCAAGCCATAAAAACTTTATTGTTCAGTGGACCAGAAGGAGATAACCAATATTTTTTTTTTCTTAAACTGATGGAGCGGTGGTTGTCTATTATGAGCCGCTGCGTGTCTGAAGCAGCTTGTATCTTATCGCAAAGGCAATTACTTTTTTCCGTCTTCAGATAAGCTGACAAGGAAAACTGCTTTCTCATTTTTCTGAGAAAGAGTGAAGAATCAAATTGAATTTTAAACAAAAGGTAAAAAAAAATCCATTCGCGTTACTAATCTATATTTTATCGTAATGTGCCCCTAGTTCAATCAGGCCCAAGTACAGTCTTAAGAAGTTACGACCTCAGAACACAAGGAAATTGAACGTCACCACAAAAGTATTAGATTTACTTTTTGAATTTATTTCATCTTCTCATCGTACTTTCATTTGCTTTCCTTTGCCTTCAAATCGCATCCTTGTCTGAGGTGAAAGTTTTGTTTTTGTTCGTGACTGCTTCTGATGGGCTTGTGACAGGTTTCTGATGACGTTTGGGAATATGAGAGATAGGTGTCAGGATTACTACAGATGTCGATGCAACGGACGATGAGCGTAGTGACTTAAAACTGTCACGGCGAAGGTCGCAGATAAGTGGATACTCATTAATACCTAACCCAAAGCAAACTTTCCCCAACCTAACCTAACCGACCTATCCGAGCCTAACCGAACGTGTGTATAAACGTATCAAATCGTCAAAAACTGTCTGAAACCTGTCACTTTTCCAAAAACTTCAGGTCTATAATTTTTGTCATGTTTCTTTGTCTAATCTCACTTCATGATTTCATCATGACTTTAATGCTCTTGCCAGTTCAGCGTTACGCGTCGTACTTAAAATATCAGGAATATGAATTCAGTTATTCTGTATTCCCCCGCGTAAATTTCAAACCTCTTAAGCTTTCTTATAAATCAGCAGGTACTTTAAATTAATGTGAGCACAAAGAATTTTTGTATTCACAATTCATAACAACAAAAAAATTGATTCAGTAGATCTCCATGTGACTTCTTACAGTGAAAGTGTGGGTATCGTAGAGCAAGACCATTGTTTTCGTCCGCTGTCGGAGCTCAGTCGTGTGACGCAAATACCTTTGATTACAGGCGGCAGTGCTCCTGTCCATCACAGCAACCCCACCAAGACGACTGCCCTCAGAAACAAGCGGACAGCACTTCGCAGCCGGATGGCTCCAACTACGTCAATGTGGAGGCCAGCGGAAATGCGGCGGTACCCACGTCTGAGGATCCGCAAAGCTGCGGTTCTGTCGCTTGCAGTCTGGACTATGAAAATATTGATTTTGCTCAGTCACTCGAATACTACGAGAACTCCAAGGACTTCCTGCAGAGAGTCGGTATCAGCAAAGAAGCCACAGAGTCTGGTGAACCACCAGTACCAGAAGTTTTAGAGACGGAGGAGTCTGCGTTGTACACGGTCTCGAATGGGGTGAAGTTCTGTAACAAGTGTGGCCACGCATGTCACCTGTACTCTCCCCGGCAAATTCCGCAGCAGCCCTTAATAGAAGACGGTGCGGTTGACGCTGCGGGGGAAACATCTGCATTGGTGCAGAGTGCTGAGGCCAGCACCTGTAAACAGGATGACTATCTGATGATGGAACCAGCTAAGAATGTGAGTTCCTCCTCTGAAGCGGCCAGGACTCACGGAAAGAACTTTCCAGGCTACCTGCCCATGTCTCCCATCACCAGTGCCTCCTGCAGCAAGGCAGACATGCTGAAGCTCAGAATGGACAGAGCAGGTCTCCCCTCTGAAAAGTCCGCCAGTATCCCCAGCCTTTCGGGTCCGATCGGCCCGGCAGTGGATAGAAGTCGAAAACGGTCATTTTCCGAGTTCCCAAGAGTTCCAGGATCTGCAATGATGATGATGAATCACTCTACCAATAGCCCTTACCTGCGACGACTTTTACACGAATCTGGATATGAGAGTCAGAGGCTGCACGTTGCCAGCAGACGCAGGTCAAGTTCTGCTGACTCGTCTAGGTACCTGGATGATCTTGAAGATCTCGAACATTGTAGAGTAAAGGAAAGAGATATTTCTTCATCACATTCAAAGCTTAGCGACTCAGTCTGTGGCCAGAAGCCTCCAGCTCTTCTCCCCGATGAAAGTCTTGGTCAGAAGGAAACATTCGATGTATCAACCAGGCAGGCGGAAAGCACCGGTGTTGAAGCAGTTGAAGCAGATTCAACTCTGGTGGCCCCAAAAGTTGAAGCGCTAGGAGAAGATGTAACAAGCACAAGCAGTGGAAGTGGTTCCTTGAGAACGTTGGTCAGGGAATGTCTAGTAGACGCACAACAGCCTCCAGTGACTGGGTCATCGGTATCGGCGGCCGTCCATATCCGACGCTCGTCTAGTGTCCCCTGCAAGTCGGGTAACAACCGGGACTCTTCAAGTTCCAATGATTCGGGTGTGTCGACCGGTTCGCTCAAGCACAGAGGTGCAGACTTTGCTGAGTTTGAATTACCGCTGACAACGTCCATGTCTACCAGGAGGCACCACCATGCATTGCAGGCAAGGCACCATGCTGGCATGCCCCTCACCAACTGTCTACATGCGTCACTGCCTAGACGTTCCAAATCTGTGGACCCTCTCCGGGAAATCAGCTTCCAGTTCCAGAATGTTAAAATACCAGCCAAATCATCATCGGCTGAAGCAGAGGTACCTATTTGTCCGGGGAAGAGGGATAGTTCCAAAGGTAAGCGCAGTTGAAATAAATTCTTTTCACAGAATGCCAGAAATTAAATTGTGTAAGGGGAATTATGTTTGTCGATTGCTCACGTCCAGTGGTGCTGATGTAATTTTGTACTGGAGATTGTCGTGGACGTCGGGATAAAATTTAACGTTGGTTTGTGTTGGTCCAGCACAGCCAATGCTTTATCTGAAGCTCTCATTGAATGGTATTGATTTCCTCAAAAAACAACTTCTGCGTTTCTTTTACTTCGTTTCTACATTCATCCTCCTACCCCTTTAGCTCCTCTTCTTTGCGCCTTTCTCTCCTCTTTCTACTTCTCTTGATCTTAGTTTTCCTATATTTATAGATATCTCCTATTTATAGTTCATAACCTAATGCAGTGAGCTGAAAAACATGTTATCGTGTTTTACAGTATCAGAAGATTTGCACGTAATATACAAAATATGTGTTAAGATATGGCGCACATTGCAAAATATTTTAATTTTTTCAGTTTCTGTCTGGGTACACATTTGTCGCTTTTAAATCTTACGTTTTCTCTCCTGTGACAGTCTGTAGCTCTAGCCCTGGCTGTAAAATGGTTTATAACTCTTCTTCACTTGCGTGCATTCACGTCACTAACTGGAAGATTTCTGTATTGAACTGTAGTAATAGAACGTATGTCGAGTGTAGTGTTTTTTTGGACAGGATTTGCTAGTCCTGGAGCTGATGGAGCGATTGTTGTTCCGTACATGGATTCACGCAGCACCAGCAGTGGGACATCGGACATGTCAGATTACATCGAGACCTTATCTCTGTCATCACACAGCTCCTCCGACACGCCAGACAGCCTCAGGTATGTGCAGCACTGGATTTATGTAATTTAATTACGTATAAATTACATAAGTTTGTGTGATGAATGAATGTTAATGGTTAACTGGAAAAATGTGGGCGGGATCAATTGTAGCATAATCCAAACCACTGTTCTGTCATTCGTTGAAAGTACTAATGAAAACTACGTAAATCTCCGGAGAGTCGGTAAGCTCGTGAGGATTTAAACCAAGAACCTACTGAATACAAGTCAGATAATATTACCAATTGAGCTAACTTAAACAGTATGAAC